AGTGGAGGGGATTCGTTCAATAGACTCAAGCTTAATAGCGGCGAAAATTACCAAGTTTGGATCGACTATTCCGATTTTCTCATGAACGTCACCATGGCGCCGGCGAGGATGAGAACGCCGTGGCGGCCATTGTTTGATGTCTCTGTCAATCTCTCTGAAATTTTCATCGACGGAATATTTGTGGGGTTCACGAGCGCCACCGGGCAGTTGGTACAGAGCCACAAGATTTTGGCCTGGAGTTTCAGTAACATCAATTTTTCGTTAAGCGAGAGTTTGATCACCACTGGTTTGCCCTCATTCGTCCTCCCAAAAGACCCAATCACCAAATCGAAGTGGTTCATCGCCAGAGTGACCGTCAGCATTTCCTCATCCTTTGTTTCCTCGCAGCGATTTCGTGGATTTTGATCGTCGGGCATCGGAGGAGAGCCAGATCCAGAGCGGAAATGGAGGATTGTGAATTGGAGTATTGGCCGCACTGAATCACATATCAAGAAATCGAGTCGGCGACAAAAGAGAAGCCGTCATTGGTGGATTGGGTGCGACGGCTAGCCGAAGAGGTGATTAATATAAAAAAAAACGAAGAGGTGGTCAGACGTTCAAAATTAAAAAAAAATTGCATCTCTTGTCTTCAGTTTTTTAAGACAACAATATCTTTAAAAAAGTTTCAAAACCTACCCTACTTTTAATATTTTTAATTAAACTTCGATATTTTTAAAATGAGTTTCAAAACCTACCATACTTTTAATATTTTTAATTAAACTACGATATTTTTAAAAAAAGTTTCAAAACCTACCATACTTTTAATATTTTTAATTAAACTACGATATTTTTTAAATAAATTTCAAAACCTACCCTACTTTTAATATTTTTAATTAAACTACGATATTTTTAAAATAAATTTCATTTACAATAATATTAATAGAAATAATATTAATAAAAAAAAGCCCATTTTAAACATGTATTTGAAATTAAAATAGCAATTAATTTTTTGAAGTAAATTATTTTACTATTTGGTTGTTTTCTTCCGTACGGAAAAAATATTATAGTGGTATTTTTAAATTTGTCAAATATTACAAAATTTTTCTCCTATTCTATTATGTTTGATAAAGTATACTAGTGATATACTATTTTGATATTATGTATTTATTTTGTATTTTTTGTCATTGTTTTTTTCTTAGTACAACATGTGGGGTGGAGTGAGGGATCGAACTCGCAACTTCATGGTTGGACGTATATGTCAATTACAGCTAACCTGTACTCGCTTTGACTATTTCTGGCCATTATTGAACTAAACAAGAAGCAAAAAGTCTATGCCAATATAAAAATATAGTTTATGTATCCTAAGCTAATTTTATTGTTATTGTAAATGTCTGAAAATATTTGTACTTTAGGCTTTTCATTGTTTTTGCAAATGTCCGAAACTATTTGTATGGTAGGCTTTTCAATATTGATAAAACTATTGTATTGCTGAAGGGAGTCTTAGTGGTAATTGTCATATCATCTCCGATCAAGAAAATTGGTAATGAGAAGAATAGTCCATGTTTATTATAAACCATTGTAAGGTTCATTTTATGTGAGATCCTTAACAAACAATATAAAAGATTGCAAATTAAGAAAAAAAAATTATTACAAATTGTGGAACGCGTTTTATTAATATTCATGGGGTTCATCTCAAAACCAATTGACAATGAGAGGGTAGCCCACTTATATTATAAACCATTGTTAGGTCTCTTATCTTATAAACGTGGGATCCTTTGCCGAAAAGAAAAAGCTAATTTCAGGATTTTTGTAATGTTATAACAGTTAAAAACTGTCACAAAATATGAATTGTTTTTTAGATTCAACGTAGTCAACAACTGTCACGAAATGGTCGAAGCACGATTGATTTGGACAGGAAATTAAAATAGTGATTAGGAATTTCTACAATATTCTATGACATTTTATATATGTAATGAAAAATAAAAAATTCCAATATTCCATGACAGTTAGTTTGACTATTTTGAGAATTCATGGCAATGAAAAGATGTCACGAATGGTTTCAAGCATGTTTTTTTCTTTCTGGTGGAAAAATCAAACTTTAATTTATTTCGGGATTCTATAGTTACACTGAGTAGAGATTTATGATTATTAGTTCGCGTAAATGGCCCACCTAACAAGACTACTACAAAAGGCACTTGAGTGCTTGAGAAGAAAAGGCACGACGAAGGCGGCAACAACAACGGCCAAAGGAATTGATGGGGAAAGAGAGGGAAAGTGTCACACCCGCCGAAAAATAAATATAAAATAATTTTAAACCCTCATTTAAAAAATTTCAAGCCAAGTAAGCCAAAGTTAATCGCTACATAATTTTTCTACTATTTAAATATAGGGACCAAACATGAACATATCCTCTAATGTAGAGATCAAAAAATATATTTTATGCGAAACATTTTTGTTTGGGATGATCATAGGTGGAATAATTTGACTTAACAAATCTTTGACAAATAAAACATATTATTGACTAGAAATTTAATCAAACGTATCATCCAAGTTATTAATCTTGAGTGATAGTTCGTCATCTCCTATGTTTCCATATTCTTGTCCCTCACTCTTTCTTCTTCTCTCTGTCCATATTTCTCAATTATTAAAGCTCTTTTTTTCTTAAATTAAAAAAAAAAGCAATTTAAAAAATCGATAATGAATAAGACAAAAGTAATGTAGACGAAACCAACTAAGTGAGCTCATTCGTAAGGCATATCCCGAAGAATCCTAGAAAAATTGGTCCCTACTTTAGTTATATATATATATATATTTTTTTTTAATTTTTGATTTTATTCTTATTACATAAATTTATTTTGATCGTAATTTTCTATTAAGAAAAGTCGAAGATACGATGGTATAGAATTAAAAATATCTTGAAGAGTTAGATGAATACATTGGAAAAGTACAAAAAAATTGTCCCACTTAATACAAGGGGATGTGTTCCAACAACTATAAAAGGAGCTCATAAACTTAGGTTTTAATAATCCCGATTGAAATATTTAAGTCTAATATATCAACTCCAATTAACTAAGCGGTATTTGTTTTGAGAGTGTTTTTTGTGTAATTGGAGTCGGGGAGAGAAATCTGTGAGATTGTAATAATTTTTTACATAGTGAATTTTTCTTTATGGACCGTGATTTTTTCTCTTTTCACTTTAATTGTTTTCTCATTTAGTTTCTGCTTATTCCTACGATACAAGTATGAGATTTTTTCCATGCAGGCCTTGGATATTCTTAGATTTTTAGTTTAGAGATTAAATATAACAAAATTTAAAATTTTGGATTTAGTAGCAATTTATAGAGATGTGTTCAAATTCCAAATACTAAATTTAAAGTGTAATTTACTCCTGTTACGTATACATACATAATACTTTTGTTAGCAATAACATGTTTTTAACACATAGGCTAAGATAAAATAAAAAAAAAAGGGTTTCAAAATAGAAGACAAAATTGAAAAGTATGATTATAACTAAGACTGGATTTTTATATCCAAACTTTTCCTAAAATTGTTATTCTTTAAAGTTATCATTATACGTTAAAAATAAGAAAACCATTACAATATCTTGCCCACTTAATATATTTTTAATTAAAAAATGAAAAAAAATATTTTTAATCCTAGATTGGAAGTAGGTGTCTATTTGGTTAAAATCAACCCCTTTTTAATCCCTAAAATTTAGAATGAGGTGTCTCCTTCTCTCCGGTGAGGTCGACTAAAACGACTCCCGTGAGAGTAATGGTGCAACAATGAGCGATGGGGAGGATAGAAATGAGACGATGGCGTGACAAGATTCGCTAGAGATGGGAGAGAAGGAGAGAGAGGAAGGGAAGAAAAAAATAGAACCCACCAATATATAATTAAATTTATATATTTTGTCAAATTAGTAGTTTTACTGYCATGTCATTTTAACGCTAGTCAAGTTATTTACTCCAAACTTTTGGAACTAAAATTGTCTCAAGAACTTGATGCGAATAAAAAAGTAAAAAAGAAAAAGAAAAAACAAATAAAGAATTCATTTTTTCACTTGAAAAAGAATATACAAATCCCAATTTGAAGTCCCAAATAAATGAATCTGAAACTTTTTCTCTCTCTCTCTCTCTCCATTTACGACTAGCTTTCTATTCACATCTCCAAATCTCTTCCAAACTCTAAAATTTTCTCACCATTTTCACCTCCACAATTCAAAGATCTTCCTCCTCGAGCGAATTAATTCTCTGAATAATGAGTTGCTTCCAAAATCAGGAATTTTAATTTCCATTATTATTGGTTCATCATCTCAAAATTCTGGCAATTCTGAAATTCCTCCAGCTTTAATGAAAACATCGTACCAAAATTCCATGTCATCATCAAGGCTTTGACCATTACTCTTGTCATCATCATTTAATTCCACCATATGATCCATCGACATAATTGGGAATTCCGTCTGCACTTCACCGTAATAATTAGAATTCGAACCATTCTCATTATTCTCATTTTCATTGATCTCATTCTCAATTACCACCTCCGACCAGAAGCTCTCGTCGATCAGCGGCAGAGCTTCCACCAGAGCCACCGCGTCCTCCTCCGCCTCATAGCTGTAGTACTCATTCTCAGTTACATAAGAATCCGTGACCGAAGAGATCTCGCAGCTGGAAGATTGTTGTGAGGAAGGAGACATTATTATTATTGAGGAAGAATGTGAAGAATTTTGAGGTTTAGTTTGATTTTTTCGTTTGTTTTGGGATTTTGGAGGTGAGATTTTGGTGTTCTTTTGGAGCCTTTTCTTCAAGTGGGTGTGCCAAACATTCTTAATTTCATTGTCTGTCCGACCAGGCAACTTGGCTGCAATTGCCGACCATCTATAGTAAACAAACACAAAAAAAAAGTAAACACAAATTAGGCTCAAAAGCAAATTTATTTCACTCCTAATATAGAAATAAAGTGAGTATTCATTTCATGTAGCCAAATTAAAAATAGTATTTAGTGTTTGTGTTTGAGCATATGCATGTGCTTGTGTTTTTATTTTTTTTCTTTTTCTAGATCTATTAACTAATAAAAAAGATGTATTAAAATTTCTTTTGTTTTGATTTTTAATGTTAAATTACTATTATGGTAAATTTTGCTTCTTTAGGATAGTTTTAAGAATTTACCTATTGCCAAGTAATTCGTGGAGGTTGATAATGGTGTCTTCTTCTTCTTTGGTGAAGTTGCCTCTCTTAATATCTGGTTTCAAGTAGTTTGTCCACCGAAGTCTGCAACTTTTCCCACATCTTAAAAGACCTACACCAAAAATACAGAAACAAAGATCAGAAAATCTGAAAGATTGGGTAAAAAAACCAAACTTTTTCTCAAGAAATTTGATTTCAAGACGTGGGTTTTTTCTGGGTTTCTTCTGGTTTTTCTGTTTGGATAACGAGAGAACTCAGAGAGAATCAAAATCTCTATCTTTATTTTGATTTCAAGACGTGGGATTTTCTGGGTTTCTGATATGAAAGGGGAAAAAAAGAGTAGATTTGGGACATGGGTTATTTTCTCTACTTATTTTCAGTTTGGATCCCGAGAAAACCCGAGAGAAAATCAGCTAAAAATTCATTCTTTTTCCAAACCCACAAATTATTAATAAAAAAGAAAGAAGAAATTAAACTCACCAGCTAGCTTGGGAAGAGCACGCCAATTGCTATGGCCATGATTGTGAATAAAAGTGGTTAAAATTCGATCTTCTTCAGGCGACCAAGGGCCTCTCTTCAACCCCATTTTCTCACAACAAGGAGCTCTCCCCATTGATTTGATCTCAAATTCAACTATAAAATCTTCTTCTTCTTCTTCTTTCTTCTTGTTTATGTTCTTCAATTCTTCAAATAAGTTTTTTTTTTTGGTTGGCTGAAAGTGGTGTGAACTGAGAGACTCTAGAGGGTGAATAATGGATTGGTATTTATAGATGTTATTGAGAGAGGAAATGGATGTCCACAAATCCAAAAGGAGGTGCTTTGAATAAAATTTGAATGAATAATAGTCTAAGTCGACAAAAACAGCTCTACGTTCAAATTGGAAATGGGTTGGGGTAACTTCCACGAACGAGGTTTCTGAATTTTAGTCCAAGAAATAATAATAATAATAATAATAATAATGATAATAAAGGGCCAATCCTAGCCGCCAAAATTAGGGCTTTCTTAATTATTTTTTATTAAAAAATATGGGATGATAAATAATAATAGTGGGGCTTTCTTTTTTACTATTTTGTGGGAGAAGTTAAAAGACTTTATATGAGTGATTGGAAGAATTTGGGTAGTTAAAAGCTCGAGGCTTGATGGTGCATATCCGTTTCATCGAGGAGTGTGTGAATGATATTACAATGAGATCTATCTTTGACTAAGAGGTTATGAATTTGAATCACTCACTAAAAAAACGAATATTTTAGTGTTTTTCTAATTTAGTCTCTCAATATTGGTAAATGTTAAAATTGACTAATGATAAACTTATGTATCATATTACTTGGTACATTTCCAAAATTCAAAAGAGGGAAAAGGTCAAAAACTTCTAATTCCTCCTCCAAATTTCAAAGAGATAGATGAAATTCTAAGTTTTTCTCATTTAAAATTTTTTGTTCTAATTCACTAGTAATATGCCATGTAAGTTTATCATTAGCCAAATTTAACAATTAACAATAGCGAGAGACTAAATTGAAACTTTTTAAATTATTGAAATTATATTGAAAAAATATCCAAACATTGAGGATCAAAAGATATATTTAACCACATGCTTATATATCATGTTCAACCATAGTTAAACTCAAAATTTTAAATTAATATTTAAGTTAGGGTATATATGTAATGGATTTTTCTTTGCAAAATTTTACATGTTAATCTTTTTGTGTATAAAAATATTTAAATTCTAGATTTTTGTTTCAATTTTTTTTTTTTTTTTTGGGAGGAGGAGGGGTGAATGAGAAGAAAACTACACAATATTGAGCATTTTAACAGCAGACAAATTAGGGGGTAAAAAAAAAGTATTATTTTATATATTTTCTCAATATATATGCTAACCATATTTTTAGTATTAATTTGAGGACGTAGTTAAAATATTCTCTAAACATCGTTTTGTAATGGATATTTACAAGATAATTTAGGGAAATTGTTCTACACATTTAAATATGGTTAAAAAGTAAAAACAAAATGAAATCATTATCAAAAGAATGGTATAGTACCATTCAAATGTTAGTACGTTTAGTTGAGCTTTCCCTATACAATTGTTTGGAAACTTATTTTTTCTCTTTTCCAAAGATACAGATGAACTTTTACATATCAAACCGACCTTCATTTTCAAAGATACAATTCTTGTAACAATTGAAAAGTATAACACATGAAACCCTTTTTCATTCCCATCTCTCATTCGTGTGCGTCGGTAGACGCCCAAGAACTCAATTTGAATACATAAATTCAAATTTTCAACAGCAAAAAATTAATTAAAAACATACATATAATAATGATTATGAGGGATTAAACTTAAACTAAATTTTTTTTATTAATTTAGTCGTCATCATCAATCACTTGTGAGTGTTCATCCAGGAGACTTCAAATTATTAAAGAACATAAAATTTTCCTAACTTTTCACAAGCTTGTTAATTAATATAAAAAATATATAAAGAAAAGAAAATGTTTGACTCCAAGATATATAACATATGAAAAATACGCGGTAATATAAAAAAATAATAATAAAAAAGATAAATTAAGTCAGTTAGGAAGGAAAAGAAGCGAATTGGTCCAAAAATAATAATCAATTCCCCACTATGGCTCTCTAGTGGTAAATAAAAGCAGCCTAAAAAATAAAAATTAAACTATAAATTATAAAACTAAAAACGACGTCGTCGTGAGAACCCTCGAGGAAACTGGCTGCTACTTCACTATGACGATTCGACGTCGCTTCGTGGCACGTGGGGGTTCCGTTATAAATTTATAATAACCCATTTATTTATTTTTGGAGAAGATAAATTTAAATTAAAAGTTTTTATTTTGGACCACATGACAAACAACAGTGGGGTTAATTGCATAAGGACCCATTTGGATCATAGTCAAATATTAATGCGATATTTTAAATTATGTGACGTTAAACTTAATATAATATGTTATTATTTATTTAAGAGCCTCATCAATTTGCTTCTAAACCTAACTTGAATTATTCTAATTTATCAAACTTTATAGTAAACAACAAATCATGAGTCTTTTTCAGTACTCTCATCTTGGGTCCAATATTCAACCTTTTTTTTATTGACTTACCATGAATTTTATGATCTCATATTTTCRCGTATATTGATTTGGATATTTTAAGGAGTTGAATTTTTTTTAATGATGTAAAAAATATATTTATTTACGACATAAAAGTATACGTGGTTTCTTGTTTTATTCTATAAGAAAAAGTATGGTATTTTAGAATATTGTAAAAGAATGGTGGTTTAAAATGTCATTTTGGTCATCCAACTTTTAGGCTTATCTTATTTTAGTTCTAATTAAACTTTCCAATATTGAATTTAATCTTTTTAACTTAAAAAATAATTATTTCGATCTTTAGAGTTTCAAAATATGACATTTAACGTTTTAAGGTTAACTGTTTTGATTTTTGTTATTGTCCTTCTAAAGCCTGTCTCCTAATAAATATCACTAGGTTAATGCATATATTATAAGTTATATTACCATATATTAAATAATTAAACAGAAAATAACAAAGTGAACCAATATTTTAAGTTTATAAATTAAAATATACATTTCAAAAATTGATAGACTAAAATGAAATAAATCTAAAGGTTTAGAAATTAAAATAGACTTTTTAAAGGTTGGGATACCAATATTAGATTTAATACTCTCTTCCTTTTACTTATAAAATTATGTACAAATATCATAGCCCTAGAAAGAACATATAATATTGTTTAAATTTAAATCTTCATTGGCTCCTGAACTTTTTTACTTACATTTTTTTTAAGGTTTCTTAAATGCTATGGGACTAGATTTGAACCTATTATGTAATTAAAAAATAAAACTTTCTTATACTAAGGAGGAGAAGTAGAAAATGTTCAATTAATTAAACTTTTGTTTTTCAAATAAATGAAAATAAGAAATTGTAATTATTAAATACATCTTTTAGTACAATATATGAGAGTGAGGATTGAGACTCACAACTTTTTTAGTTGGAGATAGATATCCTAACCAATTTAACTACATCAAATGAAATTTTAGTAAAAAGATATATATAACAAAAATCACAAATAACTACCGGCCATAATAAGATTCTCTCTTTCAATCATTCTTGTACATTAAATATTTAGAGAAGGTTATATATTCATAATTAGAGAAAGAATTAATTCTTTTAAGAAGTAATTTAGAGGTGGCAAATGTATTTTTTAATTTTATTTTGGTGGCTAAGGTATTTTAATAAGAATAAATGGTTCA